GTCCACAGCAACAAAGCCAGGACTCAAGTTCATGTTGGGTACTTTGTGTATAAGAGCCGATTCTACAAGACGGCGTCTGTGTAGAGTAGAGGCAGCAAAGATTATTTTGGAGGAAGACCAATCAATGGGATGATTAGAATCCCTCACATGGCAGAAGAGAGCATTGTTAGTGTCTGCAGACTTAACACTTCTCTTGTGTTCTTTAAGTCTGTCATTCAGTGTACGGCCATTATCACCAAAGTATTGGAGAGGACAAGACGAACAGGAAATAGCGTAGACACCAGCAGCATTAGAAGCAGGAGGAGCAGTGTGAACTAGATTGCTACGAAGTGTGTTAGTTTGTCGAAAGGCGAAACGTCGTCGTCCCTTCAATTTCTAGTGTGTGGTCTGGTCAACATTAATAATTAATAATAATTTAAGTAAAGCTAGCTTAAAACTATGACCTGACCCTGAGCTACTTATTGCCCAACCTGCTCAGTCGTGGACTATTCTATGCATTTTTTCTGAAGATCCTTTTGCTGCCATAATATTCTGAGGCATAGTTTAGCGTTTGATCAATTCTGGAGCCGCCTCGGCCACTGCAATACTTGCGTGTGCTTAATAATATTCTCAAACTCGTTACGACAACACTGCGGCTTGCGAACAACTTTTACACAATATTTGGTAATTTGCTTTAGAAGTTTCAACATTTTGAGAGGTCATTGTTATCTGTTGGAGGTTCAGTTCCTGAGCTGATTGTGGGTATGTGTAGCGTCTCCCCCCCCCCCCTCTACCCTCCTGTGGACGGCTGCTGACTGTCTGATGCCCGCCGCTCCAGGTATGGCCACACCAAGCTGGGCCGCTCCAGGTATGGCCACACCAAGCTGGGCCGCTCCAGGTATGGCCACACCAAGCTGGGCCGCTCCAGGTATGGCCACACCAAGCTGGGCCGCTCCAGGTATGGCCACACCAAGCTGGGCTGCTCCAGGTATGGCCACACCAAGCTGGGCTGCTCCAGGTATGGCCACACCAAGCTGGGCTGCTCCAGGTATGGCCACACCAAGCTGGGCTGCTCCAGGTATGGCCACACCAAGCTGGGCTGCTCCAGGTATGGCCACACCAAGCTGGGCTGCTCCAGGTATGGCCACACCAAGCTGGGCTGCTCCAGGTATGGCCACACCAAGCTGGGCTGCTCCAGGTATGGCCACACCAAGCTGGGCTGCTCCAGGTATGGCCACACCAAGCTGGGCTGCTCCAGGTATGGCCACACCAAGCTGGGCTGCTCCAGGTATGGCCACACCAAGCTGGGCTGCTCCAGGTATGGCCACACCAAGCTGGGCTGCTCCAGGTATGGCCACACCAAGCTGGGCTGCTCCAGGTATGGCCACACCAAGCTGGGCTGCTCCAGGTATGGCCACGCCAAGCTGGGCTGCTCCAGGTATGGCCACACCAAGCTGGGCTGCTCCAGGTATGGCCACACCAAGCTGGGCTGCTCCAGGTATGGCCACACCAATGGGCCACACCAAGCTGGGCTGCTCCAGGTATGGCCACACCAAGCTGGGCTGCTCCAGGTATGGCCACACCAAGCTGGGCTGCTCCAGGTATGGCCACACCAAGCTGGGCTGCTCCAGGTATGGCCACACCAAGCTGGGCTGCTCCAGGTATGGCCACACCAAGCTGGGCTGCTCCAGGTATGGCCACACCAAGCTGGGCTGCTCCAGGTATGGCCACACCAAGCTGGGCTGCTCCAGGTATGGCCACACCAAGCTGGGCTGCTCCAGGTATGGCCACACCAAGCTGGGCTGCTCCAGGTATGGCCACACCAAGCTGGGCTGCTCCAGGTATGGCCACACCAAGCTGGGCTGCTCCAGGTATGGCCACACCAAGCTGGGCTGCTCCAGGTATGGCCACACCAAGCTGGGCTGCTCCAGGTATGGCCACACCAAGCTGGGCTGCTCCAGGTATGGCCACACCAAGCTGGGCTGCTCCAGGTATGGCCACACCAAGCTGGGCTGCTCCAGGTATGGCCACACCAAGCTGGGCTGCTCCAGGTATGGCCACACCAAGCTGGGCTGCTCCAGGTATGGCCACGCCAAGCTGGGCTGCTCCAGGTATGGCCACACCAAGCTGGGCTGCTCCAGGTATGGCCACACCAAGCTGGGCTGCTCCAGGTATGGCCACACCAAGCTGGGCTGCTCCAGGTATGGCCACACCAAGCTGGGCTGCTCCAGGTATGGCCACACCAAGCTGGGCTGCTCCAGGTATGGCCACACCAAGCTGGGCTGCTCCAGGTATGGCCACACCAAGCTGGGCTGCTCCAGGTATGGCCACACCAAGCTGGGCTGCTCCAGGTATGGCCACACCAAGCTGGGCTGCTCCAGGTATGGCCACACCAAGCTGGGCTGCTCCAGGTATGGCCACACCAAGCTGGGCTGCTCCAGGTATGGCCACACCAAGCTGGGCTGCTCCAGGTATGGCCACACCAAGCTGGGCTGCTCCAGGTATGGCCACACCAAGCTGGGCTGCTCCAGGTATGGCCACACCAAGCTGGGCTGCTCCAGGTATGGCCACACCAAGCTGGGCTGCTCCAGGTATGGCCACACCAAGCTGGGCTGCTCCAGGTATGGCCACACCAAGCTGGGCTGCTCCAGGTATGGCCACACCAAGCTGGGCTGCTCCAGGTATGGCCACACCAAGCTGGGCTGCTCCAGGTATGGCCACACCAAGCTGGGCTGCTCCAGGTATGGCCACACCAAGCTGGGCTGCTCCAGGTATGGCCACACCAAGCTGGGCTGCTCCAGGTATGGCCACACCAAGCTGGGCTGCTCCAGGTATGGCCACACCAAGCTGGGCTGCTCCAGGTATGGCCACACCAAGCTGGGCCGCTCCAGGTATGGCCACACCAAGCTGGGCTGCTCCAGGTATGGCCACACCAAGCTGGGCCGCTCCAGGTATGGCCACACCAAGCTGGGCTGCTCCAGGTATGGCTACACCAAGCTGGGCTGCTCCAGGTATGGCCACACCAAGCTGGGCTGCTCCAGGTATGGCCACACCAAGCTGGGCTGCTCCAGGTATGGCCACACCAAGCTGGGCTGCTGGGGCTCCAGGTATGGCCACACCAAGCTGGGCTGCTCCAGGTATGGCCACACCAAGCTGGGCTGCTCCAGGTATGGCCACACCAAGCTGGGCTGCTCCAGGTATGGCCACACCAAGCTGGGCTGCTCCAGGTATGGCCACACCAAGCTGGGCTGCTCCAGGTATGGCCACACCAAGCTGGGCTGCTCCAGGTATGGCCACACCAAGCTGGGCTGCTCCAGGTATGGCCACACCAAGCTGGGCTGCTCCAGGTATGGCCACACCAAGCTGGGCTGCTCCAGGTATGGCCACACCAAGCTGGGCTGCTCCAGGTATGGCCACACCAAGCTGGGCTGCTCCAGGTATGGCCACACCAAGCTGGGCTGCTCCAGGTATGGCCACACCAAGCTGGGCTGCTCCAGGTATGGCCACACCAAGCTGGGCTGCTCCAGGTATGGCCACACCAAGCTGGGCTGCTCCAGGTATGGGCTGCTCCAGGTATGGCCACACCAAGCTGGGCTGCTCCAGGTATGGCCACACCAAGCTGGGCTGCTCCAGGTATGGCCACACCAAGCTGGGCTGCTCCAGGTATGGCCACACCAAGCTGGGCTGCTCCAGGTATGGCCACACCAAGCTGGGCTGCTCCAGGTATGGCCACACCAAGCTGGGCTGCTCCAGGTATGGCCACACCAAGCTGGGCTGCTCCAGGTATGGCCACACCAAGCTGGGCTGCTCCAGGTATGGCCACACCAAGCTGGGCCGCTCCAGGTATGGCCACACCAAGCTGGGCCGCTCCAGGTATGGCCACACCAAGCTGGGCCGCTCCAGGTATGGCCACACCAAGCTGGGCCGCTCCAGGTATGGCCACACCAAGCTGGGCTGCTCCAGGTATGGCCACACCAAGCTGGGCCGCTCCAGGTATGGCCACACCAAGCTGGGCTGCTCCAGGTATGGCCACACCAAGCTGGGCTGCTCCAGGTATGGCCACACCAAGCTGGGCTGCTCCAGTTATGGCCACACCAAGCTGGGCCGCTCCAGGTATGGCCACACCAAGCTGGGCCGCTCCAGGTATGGCCACACCAAGCTGGGCCGCTCCAGGTATGGCCACACCAAGCTGGGCCGCTCCAGGTATGGCCACACCAAGCTGGGCCGCTCCAGGTATGGCCACACCAAGCTGGGCCGCTCCAGGTATGGCCACACCAAGCTGGGGTGCTCCAGGTATGGCCACACCAAGCTGGGCCGCTCCAGGTATGGCCACACCAAGCTGGGCTGCTCCAGGTATGGCCACACCAAGCTGGGCCGCTCCAGGTATGGCCACACCAAGCTGGGCTGCTCCAGGTATGGCCACACCAAGCTGAGCTGCTGCAGGTATGGCCACACCAAGCTGGGCCGCTCCAGGTATGGCCACACCAAGCTGGGCTGCTCCAGGTATGGCACACCAAGCTGGGCTGCTCCAGGTATGGCCACACCAAGCTGGGCTGCTCCAGGTATGGCCACTCCAAGCTTGGCTGCTCCAGGTATGGCCACACCAAGCTGGGCTGCTCCAGGTATGGCCACACCAAGCTGAGCTGCTGCAGGTATGGCCACACCAAGCTGGGCCGCTCCAGGTATGGCCACACCAAGCTGGGCTGCTCCAGGTATGGCCACACCAAGCTTGGCTGCTCCAGGTATGGCCACACCAAGCTGGGCTGCTCCAGGTATGGCCACACCAAGCTGGGCTGCTCCAGGTATGGCCACACCAAGCTGGGCTGCTCCAGGTATGGCCACACCAAGCTGGGCTGCTCCATGTATGGCCACACCAAGCTGGGCTGCTCCAGGTATGGCCACACCAAGCTGGGCTGCTCCATGTATGGCCACACCAAGCCAGGTATGGTTATACCAATATAGTACCGGTTAATTTATGATTGATATAGATATGCAATGCCAGTTAACATTGTATGAATTACCAATCCAAATCCATCTAATTTTTCTTCTTCAATATCCAGTTTAAAAGTATAAATCCACATGCTTGCTGATCCGCGAGTGGACCAGCCTAGGTCCTGGTTATTTATTTCTATACAAAAAGGTACCATAGAGTGAGACAGTAGACACACGGGGTGCAGGAGGGCAGACACAGACACACGGGGTGCAGGAGGGCAGACACAGACACACGGGGTGCAGGAGGGCAGACACAGACACACGGGGTGCAGGAGGGCAGACACAGACACACGGGGTGCAGGAGGGCAGACACAGACACACGGGGTGCAGGAGGGCAGACACAGACACACGGGGTGCAGGAGGGCAGACACAGACACACGGGGTGCAGGAGGGCAGACACAGACACACGGGGTGCAGGAGGGCAGACACAGACACACGGGGTGCAGGAGGGCAGACACAGACACACGGGGTACAGGAGGGCAGACACAGACACACGGGGTGCAGGAGGGCAGACACAGACACACGGGGTGCAGGAGGGCAGACACAGACACACGGGGTGCAGGAGGGCAGACACAGACACACGGGGTGCAGGAGGGCAGACACAGACACACGGGGTGCAGGAGGGCAGACACAGACACACGGGGTGCAGGAGGGCAGACACAGACACACGGGGTGCAGGAGGGCAGACACAGACACACGGGGTGCAGGAGGGCAGACACAGACACACGGGGTGCAGGAGGGCAGACACAGACACACGGGGTGCAGGAGGGCAGACACAGACACACGGGGTGCAGGAGGGCAGACACAGACACACGGGGTGCAGGAGGGCAGACACAGACACACGGGGTGCAGGAGGGCAGACACAGACACACGGGGTGCAGGAGGGCAGACACAGACACACGGGGTGCAGGAGGGCAGACACAGACACACGGGGTGCAGGAGGGCAGACACAGACACACGGGGTGCAGGAGGGCAGACACAGACACACGGGGTGCAGGAGGGCAGACACAGACACACGGGGTGCAGGAGGGCAGACACAGACACACGGGGTGCAGGAGGGCAGACACAGACACACGGGGTGCAGGAGGGCAGACACAGCCACACGGGGTGCAGGAGGGCAGACACAGACACACGGGGTGCAGGAGGGCAGACACAGACACACGGGGTGCAGGAGGGCAGACACAGACACACGGGGTGCAGGAGGGCAGACACAGCCACACGGGGTGCAGGAGGGCAGACACAGACACACGGGGTGCAGGAGGGCAGACACAGACACACGGGGTGCAGGAGGGCAGACACAGACACACGGGGTGCAGGAGGGCAGACACAGACACACGGGGTGCAGGAGGGCAGACACAGACACACGGGGTGCAGGAGGGCAGACACAGACACACGGGGTGCAGGAGGGCAGACACAGACACACGGGGTGCAGGAGGGCAGACACAGACACACGGGGTGCAGGAGGGCAGACACAGACACACGGGGTGCAGGAGGGCAGACACAGACACACGGGGTGCAGGAGGGCAGACACAGACACACGGGGTGCAGGAGGGCAGACACAGACACACGGGGTGCAGGAGGGCAGACACAGACACACGGGGTGCAGGAGGGCAGACACAGACACACGGGGTGCAGGAGGGCAGACACAGACACACGGGGTGCAGGAGGGCAGACACAGCCTTAGCTACTCTGTCGCTTTGACATGTATTTTATTGTCTAAATAATGTACTTGAACTTGAACTGACGCGCACTATTAAGACCTTTTAATAGTCGAGAACATTCCATACAGTTTACTATGGAAACTAAGGTAAGAAAAGTCTCCCCTTTCTGGACTTGAGTGTAGGTAAAAGCAACGATCAGTTTACCCTCCGTACAGACAAGAAGAGAAGGGAATTTTCAGGGGAAAGCACAAGTCATTACGACTAGATGGCACTTGGAAGGGATCAGGATAAGGATTTGGGATGGGACGAGGGGGAAGGAATTTTGCCCAACCACTTGGACGGTCGGGGATTGAACGCCGACCTGCATGAAGCGAGACCGTCACTCTACCGTTCAGCCCATGTGGTGTACATACAAGAAAAAGACACATACAAACTCATATACATTTTGTGCATATTCTAATTCAGTTAAGCGGTGTACTCACCGGTCTTTATCTAAGAGCTTATAGGACTTGTGGACCGTCTTACCTAGAACCACTTATACTTATATAAGAGGTTGTTGGGAACTAGATTATCCCTCGTGGTTCAGTGAAGACGTCCACAGTAAGACTAAAGTTATCCCTCGTGGTTCAGTGAAGACGTCCACAGTAAGGCTAAAGTTATCCCTCGTGGTTCAGTGAAGACGTCCACAGTAAGACTAAAGTTATCCCTCGTGGTTCAGTGAAGACGTCCACAGTAAGGCTAAAGTTATCCCTCGTGGTTCAGTGAAGACGTCCACAGTAAGACTAAAGTTATCCCTCGTGGTTCAGTGAAGACGTCCACAGTAAGACTAAAGTTATCCCTCGTGGTTCAGTGAAGACGCCCACAGTAAGACTAAAGTTATCCCTCGTGGTTCAGTGAAGACGCCCACAGTAAGGCTAAAGTTATCCCTCGTGGTTCAGTGAAGACGTCCACAGTAAGACTAAAGTTATCCCTCGTGGTTCAGTGAAGACGTCCACAGTAAGACTAAAGTTATCCCTCGTGGTTCAGTGAAGACGTCCACAGTAAGACTAAAGTTATCCCTCGTGGTTCAGTGAAGACGTCCACAGTAAGACTAAAGTCATCCCTCGTGGTTCAGTGAAGACGTCCACAGTATGACTAAAGTTATCCCTCGTGGTTCAGTGAAGACGTCCACAGTAAGACTAAAGTCATCCCTCGTGGTTCAGTGAAGACGTCCACAGTAAGACTAAAGTTATCCCTCGTGGTTCAGTGAAGACGTCCACAGTAAGACTAAAGTCATCCCTCGTGGTTCAGTGAAGACGTCCACAGTAAGACTAAAGTTATCCCTCGTGGTTCAGTGAAGACGTCCACAGTAAGACTAAAGTTATCCCTCGTGGTTCAGTGAAGACGCCCACAGTAAGACTAAAGTCATCCCTCGTGGTTCAGTGAAGACGTCCACAGTAAGACTAAAGTTATCCCTCGTGGTTCAGTGAAGACGTCCACAGTAAGACTAAAGTCATCCTTCACTCTGTAACTGAGAGACGCACTTGGAATCTTGGTAAGAAAATAGTTTTAAAATCGTCATGTAACCCTCATTTAAGTAAACTGACCCGTAAGGTAGCGGATACAAGGCATAAAATCGTTTTCAATTACCCAAATACAATTAGGGAAAGGATTAGTAAGAATAGAGTAGGAGAGGATAGAAATCCAGGCGGGGATTATATATTACCTTGTAGAGGGTGTAGTGAAGTCTGTGTGTGTGGGGGGGGGGGGGGGGAAACAGGGCAGAAACTTGAAATTAGAATTGAAGAGCCTAAGACACCGTGTAGGATCATGGCTGGTAACGGTGCTGTAACTTACCAGAGTTGGGAAAAGGATCACAATATTGATTTTAAAAAGTGTGAAATAATCTATAAAAGTAATAATATTAGAACTAGAAGTGTAGTGGAAGAGGTTCTAATAAATTCTCTGAATACTTTCGCTGACAAGAAAATCTTTACTTTCGAGGATAACTTTACTAAGAAAATAATTCTAAGTGGATTAAAATTAGATCTCAATAAATGGTTGGATGTAAGCAGCCTCATTGGCCGCGTTCCTTGGGGGTATAGCGAGGGTTGCGAGCGACACCATCCACATGAACACATGGTTTTTTTTTTGAGATATATACAAGACTTGTTACATTCTTGTACATATTAATGACAACTCCAGTTAGAATATTAGGATCACAGAGAGGAGACCTGACCATAATTCTGTAGAAGACATTACCGGCAGTCTTCCGTAGAAAGCCGGTCGGCCGAACGGACAGCACGCTGGGCTTGTGATCCTGTGGTCCCGGGTTCGATCCCAGGCGCCGGCGAGAAACAATGGGCAGAGTTTCTTTCACCCTATTTCACCCTTTCACCCTGTTACCTAGCAGTAAAATAGGTACCTGGGTGTTAGTCAGCTGTCACGGGCTGCTTCCTGGGGGTGGAGGCCTGGTTGAGGACCGGGCCGCGGGGACACTAAAGCCCCAAAATCATCTCAAGATAACCTCAAGATAAAGGTGCACTGGCAGTCGGTAATAGCGGTGACCTGGTCAGAAGGTCAAGAAGGATAAGATGACTGGACCAAGCAAGTTACAGCCCTACTACCGTGCCAGGTACGTCCACTACGGGCTCACCATAGCCCGTGCTACTTGGAACTTTTTGTTCCTAGTAGCTGAATCTAAAACAACAACACAGGATAACAGTTCACCACTCTTGCAGGCAAACCACGCTACACTCCAGGTGCTCCTGATAATCCGAGCCATTGAGGCATTACCAGAGAACATGACACACACAGAGTGCGACTCCTCGAAGTCTACAAGAGCTCTGAGCGCGAAATAGCAGCCACTGACAAGGAAACATCAGTGGGACCAGTTGACGTCCATGTGCATGATAACGAGGCCACGGTAATCGTCATAACAAAAGCGGACCTACAGAAGATCCGGAACGCCGGGTCCCCACTACTGGAGGCCAGCCTCTCAACAATTCCTCCCAGACAATTCACTGCCGGGAAAACGATATTAGTGAAGAGGCTGAACCGCTGGTCAGCGGGTGAGGCACCGGACACCATAGTGCGGCAAGTGAACAAAGAAAACTCTACTATGAAAGCGATGACAGCTCTTCTCATCAAGACTACCGACGCCACTCGACCCACGATGAAGATAACCTTCAAAACAGCAGAACAGGCCCAGGAAGCAGTGAAGAACGGGTTCAAGTGCTTTGGAATCACCTCCTCCCCAAACCAGATCGCCATGGAGAAGGTCTACAACGTGAGACAGTGCTACAGGTGCCTCGTCTATGAGCACTTCTCTAACAAGTGTCCAGAACAAACGGCCAAGTGTAACTCTTGCTCCGGCACTCACAACGACAAGGACTGTACCGCCACCACCAAGAAATGCGCGAACTGTGGAGAACAGCACGCCGCCACCT